GCCCGGGGCATCGGGTAGCCAGCCCTCCCTGGCGTTTCTCCCTTCGAGTGCCTCCCTGAACCTCCCCCCCGCCCCCCATTCTTCCGTTGCCCTCTCCCGTCATAGGAACGAGGCTGGGACCTGGCGGCCGCTGGTTAGGAATGCTCGGGACCAGTAGCCCCGGCGCACCAAGTCCTGTTAGTGAGCGCCGACTCATGGAAACAATGAAAGGTGACGTGGTGGAGGGGAAACTTTGCGAGTGGTGCAGAGCTGGTGCGGGGAGCAGAGATGGCAGTGGTTGCCCGGCTTTCTCTCCCTTTTTAGGTTTTCCTGGCAAATTCTTGGAGGGGTGGACAGACCCTTCAGAATGTAAAGATTCACGACATCGTATCTAGTTTCTTGTAATCTGAAACTCTTGAAGTCCTGTTTGTGCTAACTTGTACAGTTGGAGGAGCCGATTTCAGTTGAGGCTGAGGAACTCGCAAGAACAAAGCTCGCTGGCCTTCCTCCGTCCCGGGCTCCTCCCTCTCCTCCGTCTTGCCTTCCCCCACCCCCGGACTACCTTGGTGTGGGGGCCGGCGTCCCGAGTCGTTCGGCAAGGACTCTGGAAGAAATCTGTCTCGCCTTGCCTGTAGGATTGGACTATTGTGTCTTTTGTAAAAGTCCCTGAACATCTTTTCAGTTTTTCTTGAAAACAAAAGCATCTTAAACTCAATCGCAGAGCCCGGGATTTGGCAAGACTGGTTTGTGATAATAGAAAGCTGAGGATGTCAAAAAGATCACCACAAATGGCTTTAAACCAACCAGAAATAAGGCTCGTTGAAGACAATCCTTTAAGTCTTTTTGCTCTTTCTGACAATGGGGAATTCTTGCTTTAGAATTATTCTGCGGCTGCACCTTTGGGATTAGAACGATTCCTGTCACTTCTGAAATATTCTGATCAGGAAATTTGTTAGATTAGGTTTGCTTTTTCCTGACTGTATACTTAAACCTTTTTTTCGTTTATTATTTCTAGATCCTTTTCCATCCTCTTAATTTTTTGTTTTTGTAAGTCCAACTTTACAACCACTCTCTCTCTCTGGTCCTCCTCCGCGTCCCCAGTTTCTATTCAGAAAAGAAAAGATTGCTTTTTTAGAGCTGTGGGATCCATCTTGTGGCTTTCTAAACAACATTTCCTTGTATGTGGATGGAGTAAACGAGGCTTGTGATCCCCCCTTCTCCCTTCCCCCAACCACATTTTTTAAAGTGTAAGCAGAGAGCAGGACGTTTGGAAACAAGTAACCGGGAAACTGTTCAAAAGCTCTGTTACAATAGGAAATGAGTAACGTGGAAAAGTCTTTTTGTTTTTCCAAGTTGAGCCACAATCCAGAGGGAGAGTTTTAATGAAAACAGCCCTGACAGCAGCAAACGTGGTTTGCTGCAGTGAAATAATCAGCTGGTGTAGCCAAGGAACTGAAGTCTTACTTCCTGTTACTTCGGCTATTGTGCACATATTGGAAATATTTGTTAAGAGGTCCAGAGGCCTGGCATTCATTTGTTTAAATGAACTGAGAACGGAGGGAAGTCACACTGCAGTTTGGTGTTGCTTAACTGAAACCTGCTTTTGTGTGTCACTAACCTATTCTGAAAGATCAGGCTTCTTGTCAAACTAAGCAACCAGATCAAAGTGCAGGCTTCAGGGTCTTTTTTGTTTGTTTCAAACTCTGTTATTATCAACTTACAGTTGAATTCACTGTTTGATGAGCAAATTTTCACACTTTTTTTTAGATTGAAAAAGGGAAGGAGGATAACAGCCTTGAGAAGAATGTTTGGTTTTTCAGACTTTGAGTTCTAAAAAAGGTTGCTTTAGTCATTCAATTATTTAAAATTTAGATTTCTTTATCAAAGCAAATGTAAAATAAGAACTCATTTATAATTAAGTTTTCTTTATGAATAGCTCTTCACCCAAATTTCAACAAAGTTTTTCTCATCTTAACAGTGAAAGCAGTTTTAATTTTAACTGTACTTCCTTTTTTGTTTTTTGGTTTTTGTTTTGTTTTGTTTTGTTTTAGCAGTTTAATAAAAGCTTCTGGGAAGGGAATCATCAGATACATGGGGGTTAAAATTTAAGTTTCTTGTGAAGCTTATTGATGGCTGTTAATTAAGCCTTAAGCTAAAGTGAATTTGCAAGATCTTCCTACTCTTTTGTTAGAACTTGCTTTACTTTGTTTTCTAAAGGTTCTGCCTTTTCTGTGGACACTCCCTCCAATTCCTTCTGCCCCCTGCAGTCCAAAACTAAAAATGTGTCACCAAGTAAAGTCAGACTCCGCTAAGTGGGGAAATATCAACAAATCTTTGAATGAGTAGCTTTATGAGTTTCATTGTGTTAAAAAGCTTTAAAGGGATGGTTTTAAAAAAAATCCTTAAAAGTACGTTGAATGGTTTATGCTATATTCTGTTTTTATTTCCTGTCAAGGCAAACCACTCAGTTAAGGTTGTGTCAATAAAATTAAGAATGCATACCTTTAAAGTTCGTGTTATTTTAATTAATTTCCTTTATAGCGAAATACTGGTATTTATGAGCATGCTATATATAGTTTATAATTTGCTTATATTTTTAAAATTTTAGATTGTCTTCAAAGATTGTCTTCAAAAAAGAGAATGTATTTCTTTAGTCGCCAAGAGTTGCCCATTGTAGTTTTGAAAGGATGGAGGATTAATAGCATGTATTAGTTAAATATTTTAAAGTTCAAAATTATGTTTAAATTTCTAAAAGGGCCAGGTCTGAATTTTTGTCGAACCCAGTCTATGTGTGATTTCAATATTCTCAATGGCTTGTGAATTCTTAAAATTTCTGGTAGGATTAAAGTATTTACAGACAAAAAAAGGTTTCCTTTGGGAGTTGCATAGGCTTTTTTTTTGACCTCTTATTAAAGTACTAATAGAAAAATATTTTTGTTTAATGACACTGAAAACTTCAGTAGTTATTTAGTAAAACGTGATTACTATTGGCTATTAAAAGTAGGTATCTAGTTTTGAATAAATGTAAAAGAAATGACCATGGAATTGGCAGAAAAATTTTGACATTTTATCTTTAGAATACTATGTTAACTGTGTAAGTTTCCTTCCTTATAGCAGTGGAAGAAGGAGGAAGAATAACATTTAAAATGTACATATGGGTACTCGTTTCTCCTAGATAGCAAGGACCTTGAGGCGAAGGTTGTTAGACACATTCCATCTGCTGTAGCACCTTTCCTGATTCACATGTGGCAAGCCATATTTACTTTGGGTGCAGTTTTGTCTCTACTGGATTAGGTGAAAGACTTTCCTGAGCATCATTGCAAAGGAATGTGAGAAGTTAAATTCCATGGGAAAGTGGATATGAAAGGGCATCTGACAATTGGTTGAGAATCTAGAATCTGCTGCTAGTCAAAATACTATTGAGAATTTATATGTGCTCTGGTATTTCAAGACAGAAAACACTCACTGGTCCTTCACCTGGCTCTCTCAGTAGTTGAGAAAACATGTTTACACTGAATTGTCAAAAGAGATGAGCTTTGCAGTAGGTGCTCTGCTGATAAAAGTGGTTGAGAGCTGGCCTTTGTCCTTTTCTAGGTGTTGTTGCGGCATCCGGCAGCGAGACTGAGGATGATGACAGCATGGACATCCCTCTGGACCTTTCCTCTTCTGCTGGCTCAGGCAAGAGAAGGCGAAGGGGCAACCTTCCCAAGGAATCTGTTCAGATTCTCCGTGATTGGCTGTATGAGCACCGATATAATGCCTATCCCTCAGAGCAAGAAAAAGCATTACTGTCCCAACAAACACACCTATCTACACTACAGGTAAGGAAAAGAACATTAGGTGTATGCACAAGTCATTTTTCCAAATTTCCAAAGTCATTTTATAGCATTCCTTTATGTCAAATCATTAAGTGCCTCCCCACTCAAAAAAATAAAGCCTATTCATACCTTTCTTGTAAACTTTCTAGTGCTGAAAACTAATAACTGGCTATTTAGAGAAACAGAAATGCATTAACAGTCATCTGTCAAATAACATTTCCTTTAATGCCTAAAAGAGCCTTGCTTTATGCAACAAACATAAAAAGGAGGTTAAATCTTACTCTATTGCCCAGGAAACTGGTTTGATATTTAAACAAGGACAGACTTCAGTGAGGTAATTCATGTTATGTCTGTTGACACAGTCATTTGAACTGGGAAAAAATCAGTAACTGGGAGGAGTGGCCCTTTTCATACAGGAGAGGTTCTCCTGTAGTTGATTAACTTAAATGCTGGGGCAGTAGTTAATTGGTTAATATGGGGGATAGTCGAAAGGTAAACCTCTCCCTCCCTAAATTATTTTTGAAAATTTATACTTTTTTCTTCCTCTTGAAAAAGTTTAAGGATATGAGACAGTAAAAGTTAGGATTTGTATTAGAAGAGGAGAAAGGTTTACAATGGGGAGCAGCAGCTCTTTTTCTTGGTTGAGCTTAAATACCTTGAGTAACTTAGTAAGTTCCGATAAGCCCTTTCATGCCTTCTTTAATACAAAGAGAGATCAGTTAGGTGTTTGTAGAAGGTTCTCAGAACCTGTTTGCTGAGTGTTAAGACATATCCATGTAATTTCAGGTCTGTAACTGGTTCATCAACGCCCGCCGCAGGCTCCTCCCTGACATGCTGAGAAAGGATGGCAAAGATCCAAATCAGTTCACAATTTCGCGCCGTGGGGCCAAGATTTCTGAAGCGAGCTCTGTGGAGTCAGCAATGGGCATCAAAAACTTTATGCCAGCTCTAGAGGAAAGCCCATTTCATTCCTGTACAGCTGGACCAAACCCAGCCCTAGGGAGGCCATTGTCCCCTAAGCTTTCGTCTCCAGGATCAATTTTGGCTCGTCCATCAGTGATCTGTCATACCACTGTGACTGCATTGAAAGATGTGCCTTTCTCTCTCTGCCAGCCAGTTGGTGTAGGACAAAACACAGATATACAGCAGATAGCAGCCAGCAGCTTTACAGACACCTCCCTCATGTATCCAGAGGACACGTGTAAATCTGGACCAAATACAAATACACAGAGTGGTCTTTTCAACACTCCTCCCCCTACTCCACCGGACCTCAACCAGGACTTTAGTGGATTTCAGCTTCTAGTGGATGTTGCACTCAAACGGGCTGCAGAGATGGAGCTTCAGGCAAAACTTACAGCTTAACTCTTCAAGCAAAACAGTTCTTAACAAATGTTATGATTGCCGGGGTGATGGCAAGAGATGAATTGCATTATTTTATATATTTTTTTATTAATATTTGCACATGGGATTGCTAAAATGAAGCTTCCTGTTACTGAGGTGTCTTCAATGGAATACAGTCATTCCAAGAACTATAAACTCAAAACTACTGTAGAAACAAAAGTTTTTTTTTACTGTTTCTTGGTAGATTGTTCATAATAATGTGAGATGGTTCCCACGATCATGTGATTTTTTTTTTTCTCCCCTTCCCTTTTTTTTATTGGTGTTTTTTCAGACTGTGCAATACTTAGAGAACCTATAGCATCTTCTCATTCCCACGTGGAACAGGATGCCCACATACCGTCTAATAAATTTTCAGTTTTTTTCCAACAAGTATGAATCTAGTTGATTGCCTTTTTTTCATGATATAATAAAGTATTTTCTTTAAAAGTTACTGTAACATGGAGTATTTTGTTGAGGGAGGTATTTCTTAAAAATGAGCAGGAATATAGCACCCCATGAGCAGGAAGTTGGGGGTAGGGTGGAGTGTGAGTTGGGGGGATGTCACCAGCTCTTTGAAGAATGGTGGACAACAAGCCAGTATGTATAAACAGGATGTGTGATATTTACTCGGTAGGAGGCATAGCTGTTAAAGCTTACTTAAAGCTTTACTTAAAACTACATGACAAATTGAAATGAATCATTCCCTAAGTGTTTAGCTAACCACTAAATCCCTTGGTGATCTGTCCTGCATATTTTAAGACATGGTCAGTGTCGAAAAGAGGTCTTAGAAGCACCTGGTTATGGCTTAAGTTTTCAGAAGTAAACAACAACCTAAGCTGTCTTAGTATTTGCCCCTTTCATGTAACCCTTTAAAATAAACTTGAGTGATATAATCAAGGACTTTACTTTCAAATACAGCATTAATTTGTACACAAATCACCTTTTAAAACATTTTTTAAAAGAGTTTAAAATGGAGTTCTGTCTTCTGTGGTGTTGTTTATCTAAGGTCATGGTTTGTGAAAAAATGGTGCCATACACAAGTGTAGTTTGTTGGGATGGACAATTATCAAGCCAGGATGGCCAGAAGGGAATTGGTGTTCCTTTCACTTACATGGTTGAGCAGATTTGTCACATGTCACAAAACCATTCTTTGTAGTCATGCTTAGTATGAGGTTTCTTTGTTACGACAGTCATGTTATTTCCAGCCCTGACCCAGCTATAAATTTCCTAAGTTTAAGGAAGCAGCAGAGAAATCAGTATTGTTTAAAGAATGTAGAAAAATTCTTCCAAACTTAAGTTTGTCTGATTTTGAAAGCCTATTCAGAAAGTTTCTACTGTAGAAAGAGCTAAACTCAAAAGACAGAAACTGACAAGGACAACCAGAAGGTGTAAGAAAAATAAGTGAGGGGAAAGGTGTGATGCTGTAGCCTGTGAGGGGCACACCTTTGAAGGGAAGGAGCACATAAGCCTCGAGTGGGCTTGACCCACCTCAAGGTCACAGAAATAGATAAAACCAAAAATGAATAAAGTATATAGAAGGAACTAAAAAATGAGATAAAGGTGATTAAGAATCATTACGTGTTCTAACAGCTAGATCAAAGGCTGAAAATCTTTCAGTACAGATAAGGGAGATCAGCAAATCATAAAAGACTTCCCTTGTTAAGATGTTTTATGAATCATACTAGAAAGTGGAGAGAAGGAACCATATGAGTGATTAAAAGGAAATGTCAAGGGTCAAATGAAATCCAAAGGTTTAAGAAAAAGGAATCACTCCAAATTGTCTTATTTTTTCTCTCTTATATAGATCCTGGTTGATAACTGGTATGTAATCAATGTAATTGGAAAGGTAAATGTAAAAAAAACTTTAAGCAAAATAGAAATGATTTTTATGCTTAGTATTTGCGTGGTTATCTTTTCATTTGCTTGTTTTTAACCTATTTGTATTCAAAGTTCATTCCTTTTAGAAAGCATATAGTTTAGTCTTTTTTTATCTAGCCTAACAATCTCTGCCTTTTACTTGATGTTTAGTTGACTTTAATTTAATGTAATTATTGATATGTTTGGATTAATTTACCATTTGGGATTTTTTTCTCCCTCTTCCTTTTTCTCTGCCTTTGGGTTATGAATATTTTTAGTATTTTGTTTTTATTTTTCTATTTGTTTATAAATTGCTTGTTTTTTTTAAATTAATTTTTCAATTACAGTTGACATTTTATCTTTAATAGTTGCCCTGGGAAAACAATATACATCTTGATCACAATCTATTTAGGGTTAATATTATACAACTTCATACAAAGTATAGAACCTCACTAGAGTATTCTTCTTTCATGTTTCATATAGCTGCATGCATGATAATAATTCCAATAGGACGATACTATAATTTCGTTTTAAATAGGTGTCTTACAAAAAATTAAAAATGTATGTATAGTCTTTATATTTGCTAAATATTTACCATTTCTGAAGCTCTTCATTTCCTGTTAGTCCAAATGACATGTAATTTCTCTTTTGCTTAAAGAAATTTCTTAAGAATTGTGTAGGCTTGCTCGTGACAAATCGTCTGTTTGCTCATTGGAAATGACTTATTTTATTTTCATCTTTGAAGGATAGTTTCACTAAAGATAGAATTCTAAGTTGATATCTTTTGTTTGTTTTTTCATCATTTTAAAGGAATTTATTATCTTTTGGCTTCTACAGTTTCTGAAGAGACATCAGTTGCATTTGTGTCATTCTTCTCTTGTATGTAATGTCTTTTTCTCTGGCTCTTTTTGAATTTCAGCAGTTTGACTACGAATTGCCTGAGTTTGCTTTTTGTATTTATCCTGCTTGGGGTTTGTTGAGCTTGAATCAGTAAGTTTATGTTTTGTTTTTTAACAAATTTGGGAAATTTTGGCCATTTTTCCATTTTTCTTTTTTTTTTCTCCTGCTTTCTTCTAGAACTCCAGTAGATTTATATTAGATCACTTGAGATTGTCCTACATGTCTCTGGGGCTCTGTTTTTCTTCAATCTTGTTTCTTTATTCTTCAGATTGGATAATTTGTATTTATTTGCACATTGGAATCACCTGGAAAGCTAAAAAAAAAAAACAACTCAAAAACTGTGGCTTCGGTTTAAGAATTTTTAAAAGTTCTCTTCATGATTCTAATGTACAGACAAGTTTGGGAAACACTGTCCTAAATAATCCTTTAAATCGGCCAAGTCAACTCTTCCAATTAGATTTTAACATAAATTTGAAATTTGGCACTGAGCTCATACTAAAGTATACATATAGTTCATACAATAACAAAGCCATGACACTAAAATAACAGGAAGGTAAGCATGCATTTGTATCAAACCAAAAAAAAATGAAATTTATCTCTGGAAATTGGCTAGAGTAAATGCTCAGAGATCAGGTTTTAGGTTTCGTTAAGCTAATTAAGAGGAGAATGTTATATTTCTGTTGTTTTAAACTTCTTTCCAATAATTTTTGTTTTGAAATTTGCTCAAATGATTCTGTGAAAAAACAATTTATATTACTTAACATTTTTTTCAGCTTATATGTACAGTAAATTTCCACAATCTGAAAATCACTTATTTTAAATTATCTAATTCTTTCAATTGTAATGTTATCTAGTATCATCTGTAAATGCAATATTGAAATGAAAAGTGCTAGGTTAATTTGGAAAGGAAAAGACAGTATTTATTGAATATTCTATATTTTACTATTATCGATTGAATATTTTATGTGTATATCTCATTTAATCCTCACAACACTGATGAGCGATGTTAAACCCATTGTGTGTTCCTAAGGAAACAGACTCAAAGTTCAGCTTTGTGGTTACTGGCTTAACAGAGAGCCCACATCCAGTGGGCGAGTCTGCAAGTTTACACTTTTCCACACACTGTATCTGAAATAAAACAACTTGGAACCATCCCCTGTTTAACACACTGTTCAGTAAAAACTTGGTGGTTACTTTGGCAGATGGTCATATAACACAGGTTTTATCTTCCAAATACCTCAACTGTTTTCTGCTGTCTATCAAGCTCTATTCTGCTCTCCCATTCCATTTCCCTTTAGCCACCTCTGCTTCTCAGGGAGACTTGCAGGATCTGACACATCTTTCTGGTTTCCTAAATGTTATGACTAGCCAGGGCCTGAAATAATGAACTCTCTCATGCCAAGGATTCTGTTTTGTAGCTTCTCTGTGTAAGTCTTAATCTATTATTCAATGCATTTCATATCCCTTTCTAAGTATCAGCTTTCTGAGATTGCGACCTTGGACTACTACCATTTTTATTAGCATATTTCTGTTTTTTATTCTGACTGCGAATCTTTAGACTTATCCTAGTTTCTATAGTTACTCTGCTGCTCTTTTCAGTTTCCTCTGTACAAAAATTATGTCTTTTAATCTATATTTTTCAAATAGAGATGAGGGATGGCTCTGACACAAAATATAGTTTCATTGAACAACACTCACAGTTTCAAAAGGAGAGTGAAGATTTATGACAATGCTTTCCCACTGTTTTCCTCCAACCCCAAAACATCCACCTTTTCTGAAAAATGGCGATGCATGTTGATTAGATTCAAAGGTCTTAAATGATATACACCATGGGGCCTTAAACACTTCCATGTGAAGAAAACAAAGCAGATCATTATTTTCCCTTCTGAGACCTAAGATATAACAGGAATGAACTTAGCCTGTGTAAGTTTTATGAAAGAACTGCTACCTCCAAGCCTGACTAAAAGATTAACTTTATTTGGTGAAATGTGTTTCTAGCCGCAGGCAGGTGCTGCTCTGATTCGCCAACCTGTGTTAATTTGAACCTGCAGAGGTACCTTTGATCAACTTGGAGCCGCACTGATTTCCTGAGTTCGCTCGGAAAACATCAAAAGAACTGTAAAGTAGACTCTAATCTCAGCCTTCCTGTTTCTATGTCTGCCCATTGGGTTCACACAACAGCAGGTATTCCTTGAAAGATATTCTCCACGATTGTACTGGGTGTCTCAATGTTAAACCTGTATCATGTGGGGGAAGGGAGACAGGGAGAGGTTTTTCCTCTTTGTAACTGAAATCTGCAAATGGAGAATCAGGGCTCTTAGGCTGATTCGCAGTGACATTTATGTGGGTATGTAAATTGATGCCTGCTGGCCTGATGCTAGAAGTAACCAAAAGAAACAGTTTAGTTTAGAGAACTCTTCAGTAAAGTAGCTATTAATGCAACATTTTCTGTCCGTGAAGATGGCACTCAGTTAACAGGTCTGGCAATGGATTGAAAATTCTGATTTATAAACATAGGCAAATAAATGTTTCTTATCAAGACACATTTATACTCAAGAGTGGTAGGTCAGATATCATCTAGTCTCCCCGCTTCCCCCAATTGGCCTTTCATCCTTTTTACACTCAATTACGAGTCAATACTTGTACTTGGGCTTTATTTCCCTTTCAAGGCCCATACAATTTTGGCCCCCGGGATTTTAT